CTGAAATTATGTTATCTCCTCAGATTATCGTTTCCAATGGCCCTTTTCTGGTGACGACATGCGGATTTCTTGGAACAATTGCTACTATGCATTCATCACTGTCGGAGTATAATATAATGTATTTCCCAAGTTGAATGTATACTCTGCGTAGGAGAAAATGAAAGGTGTCCTTTGAGCCAGGCGACTAGAGCAGAAACAAGAGGCAATACTGACTCTTAGCGACGCCTTAGGGAAATTATTGTCACGAATTGCTGTAAATGACAAACATTTGATTGCTAAGCAGATGTGTGACTTCCCGTATTATTTGCATCTGTCTTCCATGTTACTAATGATTTATATTCTCGCTCATAAGTTTGCTCTGATTTTCGTATGACAAAACCAGGAAAATCAATTAAATTTACCATTACGAAATTAGACTCAGGGGTGCCCAAAATACTTAGATACAGCGGGGCGTCGTAGAAAGAGACAGTTAATAGAAGATTGTTCCTCTTTTAGAGACAACCCGCTGGAAAGCATTGTAGTTTAGCGGTCTCGAAAATCAGGCGCAGGGGTGCCCAAAAATTAGGCACGTCTTATAAAATATGTTAAATGCACAATTTGGCACGTTACGAAAATTCTAGTTTCAAACAGGTGATGGTTAGATTACTTCACCGTACGTACTACATACAAATATATACGTATTATGAATTTCTCGTTAAGTTTCAACAGGCATTGCTAGTTTATTGTATTTCTCAGTTCCGAAGATACTAGCTGTATTTTTATTCTAAGTAGCGCCGATACACATTCAACTGTTACCGTTAAAAAAGTTACGAAATTCTGAAATTAAATTTTGATTTTTTTTTGGTTTAAGAGAACATGATCATATGTATCCAAGCATTTAATTTGTGTGTTGGCACCACTGGCTGAATTGCATTTACTTTAAACTTGATTGAATATACCATTAATAATAGCGCAAGTAAGATTATTCTATTCCATTCTCCCCTTAAAAATGTAATAATATTTTAAAATTTGATGTCGTAAACCTAAAAAGATCTTTTAGGAATTCTCGACGCATGTGCCAAGTAGATATAGATCTACTGCTGAACACCACACTGTCAGACAGTCCTATAAAACTTAATGGATAAACTTTCTCAGTCTTGAAGTTTGCCACAGACCAATATTATAGTAATATGTGTGATAAGTGTGAGACGTATACCACAGTTCATTACGTTGCATTATAACCTACTCATACAGGACGTACCATTTAAAATGCAAGCCAACTTCAATCACGTACTGCGGGTGAAGAATTAAAATAGAAACAGGTTCACCCCTGTGTAATAGATTTTCTCAACTTCCCGCGTGACATTTGCGTCAAGGTCACCTTACTTACTAAGTCGTTGCTCATGTCAGTTGCACAAAATCTGTGCCGCTGTGCACATGGCGTTTTCGCAAGTAAAACCTGTGTTCATTCTCAAACAATATTTCGCATCAAAACGTTTGCTGATATAAGCATTTAGCAAGTGATAAGTTAAGTACTGAAAAGGACATTATACAGACTTGTAGCAATATTTAGGGACACGTGAAGTATTTGTCTATGACATGTGTTCGTCGAGCGACGAAGCAACTGAAATTACACTCCAACCGATTCCAGGCATTGCATCAGCTGCAATGACGTGATACTGCTGCAGTAGTTCAATATTGGTTTAGTAATTTTATGTGTCGTAGAATTGATTTTCAAATTGAACACTCTGAACAAAGAGACCAACTTTAAACATTACCATAAATTCAACTTACAAAACATGGCGGTCAATGTTGACCTACCAGCATCTGTGCGGAGGGACAAAATATGGAAGGCGCTCCAGCGCAGTACTCGCTTTTCCAGGAGGTCACTGAAAATACAGAAACCAGAAGACTGCGTAGTGAAATGCCTTTTCCCATGAGTACGATCTTTCCATCTCGCGCTGATAGGGTCTAATTGTAAAATGTTTTGCTTTGCATTATTTAATGCTCAGCTGTTAGTTCAGAACATGGGTGTTCGTACCAAGACGTATCCTAACTCGATCATCATCTGTTGCGAAAACAATACGGAACTTAGTCTGTCATCTCCAGTCCCCAATTGTGATACGTTCAGGATTCAAGAGGAATGTATTAATAATAAGCATCGTTTCTGTCTATAAATAAGCAAAACCGGAAGGCCACTGATGTAGAGCGTTGTTGAAGTATTGAACATTACATAAAGTAAAGTTTCTTGCAGGGTTTTAGTGGAAAACGAGGTAAAGTGAAAGACTTTCCTTAGATAATATTATAATTTTACTAATGCTTCCTATTCATATATCACCGCCTCCATGATGTGTGACAGACTTCACAAATCAACAATCTGCCACGCCCTTGGTCCTTGTTGGCGCGAGAACGGACCCTCATGTTATTTCATCATTGTCTATAGTGTGTTCCATTTAAAACATACCTCTTCCTACAACAGTGTGTATTTATACGCTCTCGTGACATCTATAATACGAAAAACGGGCTGTATTTCAATCTGTGTTTGTTAGAATGAAGTATCAGAACAATTTTCCAGCAAATCTTCAGAAGACAAGCATCCACCGTTGTTAGCGTCTTTCGTGCGACTTTTCGAAATGTTCGTGGGTCAATATTGAAGACAATCTGCCCAGTTTTGTGTTTAATTTCCTCCAGGCATTATGGATTATAAAGTATTTCGTTTTATGAATCCCAACAGAAAGATGCCTGGCGGTGTAAGGTGTGGAGATCGTGGTGGCCGAAAGACCACGCCAAAAAATGCGCTCACCGAAGAACGCCTGCGTCTCACCTGTCAACACTATCCGACGCCGGACATGTTTCCTGTCGCAAATACACCCTATGTCCCGAATTTTTGTTAGCAGCCTGTGTATTGTCTTATTCGGTACTTCGTCGCATTGCTAAATGATTCGCGAGCAGCATTAAACGATTCGATGCGAAATATGTTCCAATCTGCAAAATTTTCTGTGCTAGTAGCTAGAGCAGCGGCCTAGCAAATAGGATAATCTTGACTCGTGTGCCATGGGGGATGCTGGGAATGTCTATTATGCGGAGATGGACCTGCTTTTTATTTAAATTTTGAGACAGTTTTTGGGCTGAATTTTAAATGGTAGAATCTGCACAAGGCAGACCCTAGAAGGAATACTTTCTTCCCAAGGGTTGCCACTTTAGTATGGTGGAAAGTCTCAAACGATCCAAATGATATCCTACGTAGCGGAAGTGATGATTGCCGGATAACCAATGAAGACAACCACACAAAGTGCAACTCTAGCGTGAAAAAAGCCTATTCTCTTATTGTAAACTTTCAGTTCTTTTTTGCTACTGTTTTATCGAGAACTGGCTCTGTACTCGTCTTCAGATGAAGTAAAGGGGCCATCATCTCTCTGGGTTCAGTTAGAATGAGCTAATCCGAAACAATAGGAAAAAAAGACAGCGGATGTATAGAGCTAGTTGTTTCCACAGAATACTTACATCAATTGTGTGTTTGTAACTAAAATAGCTTTACGCAGCAGACTCCTTGAGAAGTTACTAGTCACTCAGGTAGCCAAAAATTTTACATTTTATGGAAACCAAAGATTTATTTCCATTTCACAAAAGCCTGCCACTTGTCCCTATCCTGAGCCAGGTAACTCCCATCCAAACCGTGATATACTGCGCAACATCAATTTTAATATTACCATCTCATCTGAGACTAGGTTTCTCCCCTTCAGATTTTCCGTATAACATTTTTATGCAATTATCATAATATCCATGACTGCTACATGCTTCTTCGATCGCATCCCTTTCGATTTGATGAAGAACGCAGACTTGTATCATTATTTAAATACGTTCGGTGAGAGCAAATCAAAACCGAAGAATCACCGTCTTCCTAATGTGTATACCCAGAATTGAGTAAAATTATGCATAGTTTGCGGACAACTTCAGCCCAAGATTATACTGATTTTATCAAAGCACACGCGACGTGATTTCAATGCAAATCTCCCAGAACACATTAACTCCCGAAGATGTCTGTCTTCTGGGATTTAGCACCGTGTAGTCCGGTAGAAGTTTACCAATGTTTCAGAGGCCACTGCTACCTCCGTCATCAGGGTGATGATGGGCCACTCACTCATCTTCCTGATGATGGAGGCAGTAAGGACCTCTGAAAAGTTGGTAAACTTCTACCGGACTACATGGTGCTACAACCAAGAGGGCAGCAATCTTCGTACTCACCGTCGTGAGAACCTCAGATCCTACATTGACTTTTCTTCTCTCCGTTAAAGTTAATTTAAATTAATAATAGTTTTATAACCTCGATTGGACACTCACTGTCTATTCTGATATAGTGTGTGACCGTCCATTATAAACACTTCTTATTGACCCACGCTCCATTCTCTTTGAATTGCGGAGGTGTGAATGAAGCCATAAAGAGGAGACGAACGTAAAGTCAAGGGAGGGGACACATATCAACAGGAGACTGTAATCTGACTTTCTTTTTGGTTCTTTAGGCCATTCCATTCATACACGTCCCGCTAAAATTTGACCTCTGACCTCATAACTCCTGTTCCTTTTACAGGCCCGACTGGTGCGGAACATCATGTATCTGGCAGCATGCCACTTAACATTTCAAGGGTTAGGATACCGTGGTGCGTGGGTTCACTACCAGCCCCTCGACCGCCTCGTCCTAACCGCTCATACCTGCATTTCAATTCTCCCCCTCTGCTATCCGTCGGAAAGTTTTGTCTCCTCCAAAAGCGGGGAATGAAATGTTATGAGGGAGATGGGAAGACATCGCGATACATATCAGAGAGAGACCCGAGTAGATTTTCTAGATTCCACACTCTCCTCCTATTGGCCATAGACCCTCTCGTTCCCGCGCAGAAGCAGGCTTCCTATTGGTCAATTGGCATTGTGACGTGGGTAGTTCACCTCGTCGGGTTTATAAAATAATTACAGGCGCGTACTTTCCGACGCGACGGCTTTCGGCTGGTTTTAAGGGCAGGCCCTGCTCGTAGTGCTGAGACAGTTGCCACTCGCTTCCCAGCCTCTTCTCCAGCGCGAGGACCACACACATACTCACACTCTTCCTTCATCAGAACTACAGCTGAAGGAACAATGGTGCGCGCTTCGACACCTAGGCACCTCGTACTGATGGTGGTAGCTCTTACCGCTCTCTGCGTCGCCCTGCCGCAATCCGTAATGGCCATCGACTTAAGTCGACTTTACGGTCACCTTAACGCGAAGAGGAATGGTGAGTTCACAATCAACAACTTGGCACCAACAAGCACCATCAGCACCATCTACTACAACCAACATCAATCAAGCACATCTAACACCCTCAAATAATCTACTAATAATATATATCACCATTCCAACATAACATAAAATATATAGCACTGCACTGTGTAGCACATGTTGTATATGTTTATACAGAAACATCTTTATACTTGATAAACATCACATTCTTGCTTTGTATCTGTCTTTTATGTGTTTTGCACTTTGTCTGTGTCTTAATGCACCTTGCACCTTGACCTATAACCTGATAAGATCATCGATCAAAATATGTGTTTTATGAGAAGCACCAGAGGCTGTGATGGGATTGGACAGGCGGAATTGTAAGAGTACAATCAGAGACAAAAGAATTCACTGTTTGTTCAGTAGTAGTTGGGAAATGTGCGCATTTTATTAGTTTTTAAATTACGAACGTTAAATAACTTCATCTCGATTATATCGATACCGGCGAGGTAAGTACCACAGCGATGATCTGGGAAGTAGCACGATGTTCTACAGAAGGAATTTTCAAAACGGCAATAAACAAATTTTTACATTCCGCGTTTCGTGATATTTTTTCTATTTCTCTGAACCAAAGCGAGTTGGTTTAATTGTTTAAGCGAGCGAATTATAAGCCAAAACTATTATATGGATTCCTATACAATCACGAAAAATTATGGAAGAAATGCTGATATTAATGGTTTTCGAAGGGCCTGATCCTAAAATTATAGGCCTATTAATTTTCTAAATGACACACTTGATAGTTGGCTATTCTTTAATCACTACTACATGAATCGGTAATTTTTTCCATCCATTATTGCAGAAAAGTCAAAAATAAGTATATGAAAATTAATCTTAAATAATACTATTACATGTGGCTGAAGTGTTACAAAATCTGATAGACTTCTATAATTGAAAGAATGAGCACACAATCAGTCCCTTATAATATACAGTAAAAGCAGTCATAATTGTGCTTCAGAAAAACGTTTGACTCACTGAAAATTCCGAATATCTTGTGCAATGGTTATTTTTACAGCAAATAGCTTAGATAAACAGAATATAACAAAGCGACTGGATCAGTACGACTTAGTACAGTTTATGAAGTTTCGTTACAAACGCGATTTTAATTTATACATCAAGCAATAAATGCCTGTAGAGCAGTAGGAGTTACGAAAACAAATGTCTTACGCATCTCAAGGATCTCGTAAAATATTGCCTACTGCTAGATTTGGCATGGGTTGGTCATTTTCGTGATCTAGTATTACACAATAGAAACAAATATTTAAAAATAATCCTGTTCTAAGTCAAGAAAAGCTTCAGTAAATTCTATCGTGAGCGGACCTTTGCTGTCGGGAATTGTTACAGACGCCGTGTTCACACTTTTGGTACGCAGGATCAATAAATCCCGGGAAATAGGAAAAAGTAACGAGAAAGAACAAATAGAATTTGTGATTATATTTATTTTAGCCTTATGCAACATGTTTATTCCGGAACATCTGCAAAGTCAAAAATATTATTGAATTTTACATGGTTTTTGTGCCACATCGAGAGTCATGTTCAAAATTCCTCTGCTAACGCTGAATCATACTTTATAATGTAAGACGAAGATTGAAGAACGAAACTTTATATTCTTAATTAAAATGAAATGTGTGCTTTGAATGTAGCACATTCCATTTCCTGTTATTGTAATTCGAACATAAAATTTAAATCCATTTCAATAAAAACCAAACGTGTTTAAATTTCTGATAATAAACATGGAAAAATTAACTCGACTCTACTCAAAATACAATATTTTACAATAGAGCCACTTCAGAATTATCTGTTTACTTGCAGTATATTTTATAGCTTAGCAAAACAACGAGAATCAACCATTTGTTTACCAATAAAGCCACTTCGGTCTGTAACAGTGTCATATTTTATATGTATATTGTTTAAAACATTTGAAATTTTCGTAGCTCTCTTACGTAGTAATACTTACAACTGATAACATTATTTAAGTATTTATTTTGGCGTGTTTTACGAAGTTTTCAATTTCTGAAAATACAGACATCAAATAATAGGATTATGGGTAAATTATGAGGTGAAAGGATGTGGAAGTAAACACTTGTTATGTAATTTAATTTACTATCTCATCAGTTCCCTGAAGGGACTGAGGATACCCAAAGAAAGCGCTATCAAGATGCCCGGTTTTCGGGCCGATATTTAAACTCGGAGTCTCCTGAATACGAAGCAAGGTTGATCAGCACTCATTAACGACCTTTGGTACTATAACTTCTTAAATCGCTATATAACCTGATAAATCAATTTCTTTACTGAATGTCGATGAGCCAGTATATGTTAAAAGTTAGAACTGTATTCGACATAAGATAGAAAGCGTAGATAACTGACGCACTAGCTTATGAACGTGGACTGATATCACTCCTATCGAAAACTGTGCTGTAAGGTTTAGAAAACTCTAAGAGCACAAACAAACGTATAAAGTAGTAGGAATTTCGGAAGTGTGATTATTTAATTTCGGAAACATGACGACGTATAGACCTTAAGTAGAGAGTTAATATTACCGCAAATACAGTTAACTGCATTGTTTTTTATAATGTTTCAAAGAAACTGTCGGCACGCGACTCAGATATTTACGATTTCTACAAAATGTGGAACTACGAGAGATTAACAGAACATAATTCTGACACGAAGAAAGCCTGATCCAATTTTATCCGGATAGATACAAATTGCTTATAAAACGTATATTTTATATTTGACGAGATACATTTCTAAAGAAAATGACATATGCTAACGAAAATTAGATCAGCTAACATAAATTTGGTAAAGTCTAACAATCTCAAAATTACTGGTTAAGCACAGAATTAACTGCTTCACGCTAAGGTACGCAAAAACGGCCAAATAAAATATTCGTTTTAATAAATTAAGAGCAAATTAAATTTGGATAATGGGTTTTTATCGTTCAGGTCAGAATTATTTGTTTTCCCCCCTCCTACCTGGAACAATTAAGACTAAACACATGAAAATATTGATTTTTCCTGCTCTTTTGTGTGGGTGTGCAACATGACCTTCACTCTAGAACATAGAGCGAAGGTATTTGCGAACAAATGCTGTGAATAATAGACCCAATGTCATAATGATCATCTTCACAGCCATGACAGCCTTACATCTTACAAACTAGGTAGGTAATAATATTTTTGGTTCATTAAGTAAGTTTCCAGTAAAACGACTTTTTTAATTAATTCCAGTAGCTCTTATCAGAAATTTACTACAACAGGCGGTTATTAAAACAGGGAGTAGTACATTCGGCATGTGTTATAGAGTCATTCCTAAATCAAATTACCAGAAAATTCTCAGCTTCTGACTTCATAGATTCGGTTGGTATTATTACGATGCCGAGGTATAGGCGGATATGATTCAATAGGAATGTAGCTTGGACTGGGAAGCCAAGGAATGCATAAAGAATTCTGGAGGGGAAAACCTCAAGGGAGATAGAGGAGGAGATGGAAGAACGGCATTATAATCGATCTTTCGGAGATAAGTGGTTAGATGAAGATTTCTGTCTTCTGGGTTGTTGCGCTGTGTAGTCTGGTAGATGTTAACCAACTTTTCAGAGGTCATACTGCCTCCGTCATCAGAGCGACAACAACCCAGAAGACAGAAATATTCATACTCACCGCTGTGAAAACCTCAAATCTTACAAGTGGTTAGATGTGTGGTTTATATAACTGCTTTAGGATCATGTATTATGGCGGCCTCTGGTATCAACGGTACTGAACCTCTTGGTTCTACTGCTATTTAATTAACAAGCGTTTATGGAATTATATTAATTATTCACTGTCCATATTATAAAACATTATTTTTGAGATAACACCAAACCAAGTGATTCTCTGTATATTGTGTTATATTATAAATGTCAATTATGTGCATGGAAATAATTTATTATAAATGGAAGTAAACGGAAGACGTTGGTGCAAAAGGGGGATACAGGGCATTACATATTTTAATTAGAAAAGTTAAACGTTGTTTTAAATAATCAGCATTGTATGTAGGTGTACTTTTATGTTTACAAGCATACAATGTTAACATCCAACTATTATTTATGCTATTTTAATAACATGATTAAGCCATTTGTAAGTTATTCCCTTTTTGCTCCAAAGTATCGACTATGGTTACGTCACGTATGTATTACCTCAGTGACTGGCAGATCCAATAAATTACAATACTCAGTCTATTAGTTTACCTTCCCTTCTTAATAAAGCAATAAATGTACAATTTCATTACTGTAAACATGTTATCCAGTAAGTGGGGTTCAAGAAGTATTTATCAATTTAAATAATTTAAACATAATGAAAGTATTCCATCAAAAGGAAATAAACACGTTTCACCTAAAGCACGTGAAAACGTACACAGTATGGTGCTGACAATCATAATCATCTAGATGAAAGTTTTCATTTCTTATCAATCTAAACACATTTGTTTCGATTCTGCTTATATTATACGGGAAGGTAATCGTCAAATCGATTGTGACGTCATTCTCGAAGTGACGTAGTACTTTGCGTGCTGACACGGCTTACGGTATGTACGTTGCACAAATTCGATTCTGGGAATATTATTTATATTGTAGTCCTATTTTATTACTTCGTGAAAGGTTATCTCCACAGTCAAAAACAATTAACATAGATCAAATTATTTGTTTATAAAAACTAAATACAAAATGCAGCGCTCTAAGGAAAAATCTTAAGTAGGTCCCATATTCGAAGTTATAATGTAAAGTTTTAGTACACAAGCAGACAGAAACATTTTACCTGACACTGGTCATATTCATGGACTAGGTACAGCTTCGATCTCGAATTTATTCGAGTGTCCCTCAGAATGTCAGACGCCATTACACCCCCACCAGTTAATTCGGTCATAATAGATATAATTAATTTATATAATAATTTATACAATAGTTAATTCGATTTTGGATCATACTAGACC